ATGAAAATAAACAGCAGTATTTTATTTATGACACTCGTATTCACCGCTCAACAGCATGAAGCACTGGTTATTGAGCTGGGGACACACTACACGACTAGCTGAAACATTCTAAGACTGACCTATTTATACACAGAAACTGACTTTGGCGTGCACTCGATGTGCATATAATACTCACATTGTTGGCGTGCATATTATACGCACCTCCCCCACACCCCCAAACCTAACCATTGCGTATCATGTGCACGCCAAAGTCCGTTTCTGACAGAAAATCATGCCATTGAAACACACTTCCATGAGATTGAAATTTCCTTATCCATCTGACACAAAACTATAATTAAACTGTGTATATAAAATTATTTTATTTCATGTCTTTTATGAATTTTTTATGTAAAATTAGTTTTGAACAATAACTATTTATGTTCGTAGCTATATTAGTTATGAAAAAAATCTGTCATGAAGAATAGATTATTTGTTATGAAATTGATTTAAAAATTCTTTACAAGAACTTTTAAGAACAAGTTAAAAGTCAAGAAGAATTCTTAAAAATATCTTCACAATGAGAGAAATCTCTGACATAATTTAGGCTATTTTAATTTATTCGACTGCAGATAAAAACAATAAATAGTCTAAAACCATTTAACTTACAATGTTAACTTATGAAATAAAATAAAGACAAGGAATAAATCACAATAAAATGTGTGATCAAGAAAAATATTTGACAAAATGAACCGTAAATGTCGTTTGACATCTTCACTGCAGCCGCATATTCAATCGCTGGCGTCAGTCGCAAATATTAAACATGTTTAAACAAGTCTTTGTGAAAATGACTGGTTTTTGAATTCTAAGATTATGATCTTTAGACACCACACACTGATTTCTCTGCCGACTGCAAACAGCGACTGAGCCCAACTGGAACAGACCCGGTGCGACTGGACACGATCCGTCCTCAAGCCCAAATTACATTCATAATCAGCCTGACAGTCTATTATTAGTGTCCTATTATTGCTCCATATTAATATATGCGAATGGAAATGAGAATAATCTGATCAGAGTAACTGAGATGAAGCTGATTTCTGCCTCACAGTGAAATATTACCCCGCACTCAGTTCAGATTCAAGTGCTGTATTAGTTTATAATATGCAGATATATGACTGTAATTGTGTAGTGTGTGATGATCAAGTGTTCACTCACCTGTTTTCAGGATCAGTTCTGTTATCAGAGCAACAGAGTTCAGTAACACAACACCGACTGATCCAAACACATACACAGCAACAACACGAGGAAGATCTGCAAGATCAAATCATACAGTTTAATATCAGCAGCATTCGATCAAATTAAACCACATTAACAACCACTACAGAGAAAACGCACAGAATGAATGTATTTGATCTCCACATCTTTCTAAAGTTTGGAGTTTGATTTGAGGCCTTAAATATCATCAGGACAGAACTGCTTCATCAAACTAATGAGAGCTAATAAATCATATATTCTGTAGAATAATAAGGTTTTTCATCATTCATTCATTCATTGATAGAAGTTGAATAAAACATAACACAATATTCATACACAAACACTCAAAACTCCCTCATATTTCACAGACAGGTTTGTGCTTGATTGAGGAAACATTATCGTGAAATATCAGCTCGAGGAGCAGGATTTCATGAAAATCATTATCACAACAACATAATTAAAGCTTTGCTGGGATAGAAAATGCTGAATAGCTCAACTACACTGTAAAAACATCTGTGACATTTTACAGTAAAGAATAAAATAAAGTCAGCAGCTGTGATTGCCAGAACTTCATCTTAAAATATACTAATGCAGTGTTTCAGGATTTATAGATTTAACTTAAATTACTAGTAAAAACCTGTATTTCATTAACTGCTATAATGTTAATATTCCAGCCTACTGAAGCACTCAAATCTGTTTTGTACATTTATAACACACTGACAAGTGATGAGAGAGTTACTGATGAAGCAAAGCTGATGAGGAAAATACTCATATCTAGAAGCTGCATCATTCACACGAATAATAAACACCATCACGATAACACACACGACACTGAGATAATGCAATTAACATTCATTTAAAAACACAAGATGTAACAAAGTCCTAATGCACATAACTTATAAGAACAAACAAAAAGGAAACTGTACATATTAAGGGAAATTACTGTTAACATGTTTTACTGTAGCATTTTACAGTCCTTTACTGTTAAAATGATGATAGTATTTTACAGTGTAGAGACTCGATCTGTGTTCAGAGTG